TTAAGTCCTTTTGATATTTATAGATGCTTTTTAATGTTATAATAATATGAGATCTTCACCCACGAAATGCACCACAGGTAAAAAGTGGTGTTCCATATTTCTAGATATGCACATTAAGAACTGCTCAAGAATTATCTAAAAATTAAGCCTTCTGCAGGTTTTATGAGTGAAATAGCCTATTCTTCAGGGTATCACTAATAAAATAAATTATTCTACACAGCATGGATTTAATATTGTATCTCAAATTTGACACACCCCCATGGTTTTCAAAACTTATAATTCAATAGGAAAGGCTTTGTATCTGTCATGAATTAATCTTGTGCTAAAATCTATCCTCCATTTTTCTGGAAAGTGTTTTTTAAGAGATTTTTTATTAAAAAAAGAAAGAAAGAAAAGCAACCTCTCATTCTCAGAGAGGTCTTGAACCTTTTAGTTCAGTTAAACTACAAGCTCCATCATCCATAGCAAGATGTTTGATGATGTCCTATGCACAAAAACCAAGGATATAAATAGAGATAATAAATAAGGAGCCCACGTGGAAGGCTTTTAGTCAGAGCAGAATGAACTATAGAACTATTTGTAGGTACCGAAAATATACCTCATATGGAACATAAACAATGCGTCATCCTTTAAAAAGGATGGATGAGAACTAAATAATTGATTTCCAGAGTATGTGTACAAGATTACAAATTCTACACCATGTTAGTGGCAAAATCCTTGACGTTAGGTCATTCCAGCCGAAGACTGAGTTCATTTGAGTTAAGCAAAATACCATCAGTAGCAAAATGCAAGCATCACTGTGATACCAACTGCCCAGGATGTAGCTATTGGCACCTGATGCTCCTGTTGCCTTGCTTGTTAGCATTGTTTATTCTTAGCTGCAGTAGGGGATCCTTGCTAATTATATGCTGTATTTCTTCAAGCACTTTTGCCTCTGACAATGACAAATGTGCAAGCTTTAGCGGGGCCCAGTTTCCCAGGTACATCAGACAGGTTGAGCAAATCACAGTTAAGCTTATCTTCATGTTACATTTATATCTGCCTCTCTCTCTCCTATCCATCTATCCATGTATCATGTATCTTCCATTTTCTATAATCTATTTGTCTCTGTCTATATATCATCTATGTATCTTTCAATCATCTTTCAATCTATCGGTCTATTATCTATCAGTCTATCTCTCAATTTATTGTGTTTTAATGATCCCGTAATCCCGTGCGTCAGGGTGGAGTCAGGCAACTGAATGGAGCTGAGTGTTTACTGGCTGGATGCCATTCCTGTCACCAATGCGGAGTTCACAGCAGATATATTCTCATTGTGCCCTGAGCGAAATATCTGCCTCTATCTAGGATCAAACTCATAGCCTCCTGGTAAGGCGAAAGCTCTACCTCCAGGCCACTGCACCACTCAAAAGTCTCTCTCTGTGTGTCTATCATTCCACCAAAACAATAGTACTGGGGAACAAAGAGCATCTCTGGAGCTCTGCCTGTTCATTGAATCTCCAGCCATTGCTCAAATACTGTATATACTTCCAAGTATTTCAATCTGGACTCACATGTTCATGCTCTTTCATAACTTTTTTAAAAAATTAATTCCCTAAATATACAAAAAGGAGGAATGAAGAGAAAATGGGAATGAGAAACCTAAATGCAAAGGGGAGGAAATCATATTGTGATACATATAAAAATCATTCTGCCTAAGTTTTGAACAAGTCATTATACCACAAGTACATAAAATAATACTGACCAGTTTATAGGAAGCGCGGGTGGTGGTGGTGGTGGTGGAAACTGTCCTGAACAAATTAAAGCACCGCCTGGACCGTATCTCCAACTTGGCACTTGCCAGATGCGTTGAGCTACATCACCACAGGCCAACATCACATTGCATTCAAGCAGAGTTTTAAAGAAAGTCATTTCATGATGCTTACTGCAGAACACAATGAATATATTAGACACAATTCCTATATTCAAGCTTAGAATATAGAACATAGAACAGGGATTCCCAACCGGGGTGCTTGGCAATATTCCAGGGGGTACGAAAACTTGGGTTTAGAAGTTTCAAAATTATAGTGTATATGTATGCATGTTATTATTTATTATTTATTTTTTTTAATTTTAAAAGAAAACTTTATTAGAGATTAAAAAAGAAAAACACTATGTACAATGCATCAAATACAACCTTACGTGTAGACAAAATCTATATATACAAATACATAATAAATACACATATAAAACATATAAAACATATGCTTCTAATCAACTAAGATAGTGTGCTTTTTTCTTGGTAATAATTTTACTACTATTCATTTATTATTTGGTAAACATTCTTAATTTAACTACTCCATTCATCAAAAACATATCTTTTAATTTTCCGTTTTTTATTCTTTAATCCACTTACACCATTTATCCCAAGATGTAATATATCCTGAGTCTTCCTTATTCCTAAGTTTTTGTGTAAGTAGGTCCATTTCAGCGCAGTCAAGTATTTTCTGAGTAATCAAATTATTTGTTGGCATTTGTTCGCCCTTCCAACGTTGTGCCAACGCAATTCTTGCCACTGTGATTATATGGAGAATTAAATATTTCATTTCATTTGTATAGTCCCCTTTTAACATTCCCAACAAAAATATTTCAGGTTTAATTCTAATTGAATACTTGTAATTTCTTTTATCCACAGTCTAATTTTTTTCCAATATTTTTTACTTTTTGGGCAGAGCCACCAAGTGTGGAAGAAGGTGCCCCTCGTTTGCTTACATTTCCAACACATCGGACTCATGTTTGGATAAATGTTAGCTAACCTTGAGGGTGACAGATACCACCAGTAACACATTTTATATTGATTTTCTTTATAGATCGCTGATTTTGTTATTTTGTAATTTTGATTCCAATTTTTTCCCAATCTTCCAAATTAATATTGTGCCCTACATTCCTTGCCAATGCGATCACTGGGCCTTTAACTATTTCTTCCACCATTTCATATCCTAACAGGTAGTTATTCATTTTTGAGATCAATTTTTCATCTGTTCCCTCCAATATTTTATCTAATTGATTTGGTTTTATCTCAATCCCAAACTCTTCCATGTCCTTTTTATATCTTGCTTTGAGTTGTAAATATGGCCACCACTCTATTTTCATCCCTCGTTCTCTAATTTCTTGATTCGTCATTAATCTTCCTTGGGAATTTAGTACATCATAATACATAATATTTCTTCCAGTTTCTAGTGCGTTGGGGTGGACCAATGCCTCTATGATGGAAACCCATCCTGGGATCTTTATATAATGCTTGTGTTTAATTTCTTTCCATACCTTTAAAAATGGACATCTAATTATCTGCCTATTAAAGTGTATGTAACTTTTATTTCCCAGCTTCCACATGAAGGCATGCCACCCTGCTTCCAAATCATGCCCTTCTAGAATTAAAACCCTTTTGTTTCTCAAATTGGCCGAATCCTTGATCCATGTTAAAATTGCCGTTTTATAATATAGTTCCCAGGCAGGAAGCCCAAATCCACCTTGGCATCTATTATCTTGTATGGAGCTTAATTTTATTCTAGGTTTTTCCCCTGACTTTATTATTTATTTTTAGGGGTGTGAGAATATATCAGAAAACCCCTGGTACAGAATAATAGAGTTGCAAGGGACCTTGGAGGTTATCTAGTCCACCCTCCTGCTCCAGCAGGTGACCCTATATTGTTTTCATATAAATGGTTGTCCAGTCTCTTTTTCAAAGCCCTCAGTGATGAAGCACCCACATTGCTGAAGGCAAGCTATTCCATTGGTTGTATTGCACTCTGCTTTATCCCATCCTGAGTAAATCTTAAAACTCTGGTATCTCATCAACTAAAAGGACCCAGTTCAGCTCCTATCCAGAACTTCTGCATCTCATTCAGTGTATGACCATCATTGCCAGGAGTTCGATTCCTTTGATCCTGACAGGTTCAAGGTTGACACAATCTTCCAAGGTCAGTAAAAAACAAGGACCCAGATTGTTGGGGGCAATTTGCTGACTCTGTAAACCTCTTAGAGAGGGCTGTGAAGCACTGTGAAGTGCTATATAAGTCTAGAGTGCTATTGCTATTTCTCAAGTAAAACAGAACCGGCTGTTTTAAGATGGATGACTTCAACTCCCAGAATTCCCCAGGCAGGCTGGCTGGGAAATTCTGGGAGTTGAAGTCCACCCATCTTAAAGAAGTCACATTTGAGAAGCACTGAATTAAAGGCAACCAGCATTAAACCTGCAGAGTCCCCCCTCACCCTATTCTTCAGCTTCTAATTCAACTTCTACAAGAATAAAAAAGCTGCCTTTTGCGTACAAGCTACAGAACGAAATATATATATATATATATATACCCCCCCCCCCCCCGATTTTGCCCTCTTCTTCTCCATGGAGAATCGGCAGCAAAGGAGAAAGTGGGGGAGGACGAGGACGAAAGGGAAATCGTTTACATTATATTGGTTGGGGACAATAGGGACTGTAGTCCTCCCCATCAAAACGCAACCGAAACGCCGACGAAAATAACTCGGCGCGGGCCACCTTCTCCTGAGGAGGTGGGGGGGGGGCGTTTCTGAGAAGGAGTCCCTGTACGGAAGGGGAAAAAAATGGCTACGCCCTGCCGACGCACAGAAGGCATCCATCGCCCCGACTCCGTACTGCGTGGCGTCATCACGTCCCGCCGTTCAACGTTCCAACGCAGGTTTGCGCGCTGGGAGGAGGGCGACGCGGAGAGTCGACTAACCTGGACGGGACGTGAAAAAGGCGCTTGTTACTGGGGCAACGACGAAGGCTAGGTACCCTCGGGTCTATCGTCCTTTTTTCCCCTTCCGGGGACCTCCGGAGACAGTTGGACTACATCCTTTACCAACCCTGGTCCAGTGGCTGGGAAGGATGGGCCCTGTAGTCCAGTGTCCCTGTAGGTTGTCGGGCGAAAGAAGGCTGGGATTATATTATGAATGTTATAAAGACCCGTTTTTGTGCCTGACGTTTGTCTGGCTGCTCCAAAAGATGATTGGGAGTTTTGAGTTTGTTTGATTTTTTTTAAAAAAAGGAAAATCTGGACTTGATGGGCAGAGATATTTCAGGGTTCTGTCCTTTTGGAACTGAGAGCCAATTTAAGGGTCCTGAGTGCCTTCTTTATTTGGTCCTGGGAATGCCGCCTGAAGTTGTGGATGCTCCAACCTGAAGAGTTATCTATCCAGAATGGATGAATTCCTGCTTTGTATAGGGGCTGGGGATGGACTAGAAGTCCTTCAAGATCCCTCTCAACCCTGGGTTTAGGGGAACAAAAGAAACAGATCCAAGAATAGATTACAAAAAAAAAAAAAAAAAACCAGAGGTTTTAAGAAGCAAAGACATTGTGGAAAGTCAGCTCCCAAAACCTTCAAGACTAAAAGGTGTTGGTTCTTCTGAATTGGCTTTGGATCTTCTTCGAGCAGCCTTTTAAAGTTTGGCTTAATCCACTGGTTGGTTCATGTATAGGAAAGGGCAAGGGTAGGCAGACGACTGTTGCAAGCTAGGATATGCAAAAGTGGCCTAGGGAGGAAAAATGCATTTTTTTCTAAATAAGAAACAAAAGCATAATATTTATATATGCCTAAATATAGCTGCATGGCAACATGATAAAATGTGCAACTCTAAAAGGAACTCAGCATGTTTAAGTAGAAATTGGACCACTGTCTTTGCTTCTTTAACGACTCCAGCACTGATCAAGTTGTATGGCCAAAATGAACTCTTCTGCCTCTGTAGTCTTACAAATCTGTGAAATGTAAGGTTTTGAGCGTGATGTTAATTTGTAGATGGAAGGCCCCGATGTAATTTAACTTTAATATGTCAATAGCAAACCATTAATATATGAAATATCTGTACCCAACAGATTTGTGTACTCTGACACCCATTTTCCTTTTTCTACCTTAATAGTTTAATTCTCTTACAACTCAGGATGTCTACACCACCTCTAGCAGGGCCAGGATTGCCTCCTGGTCCATTTTCTGGGCCTCAGGGTCAGGCTGCACGAGAAGTGAACACAGCTTCGTTGTGTCGCATTGGTCAAGAGACTGTGCAGGACATTGTATTCCGCACTATGGAAATTTTCCAGCTGTTAAGAAATATGCAGGTAAAGAATCACCTGTCCAAATAGTTCTATCCTATTATCTCTTTTAGAAAACCTGAATTAAATTGAAAAAAGTGCACAGTAAAAAACATATAAGCAGGAACAACTTTGGCATTCAGAAAAGGAAGTCTTTGCCTGCCACATATTTTCATTAAAAAAAAAAGACTTGCTTTAACGATTTATCTGCCTTTCTCCCCAGATAATTTACTTTTAAAATTGGAGAATTTTAGCTTCACTAGAAATATAGTAAAGAAGGCAGATAATTATTTTCTAATTAATCTGCCTTTGGAGAGGGTTCATTTTGAGAGGATTCATTTTGAGTTCAAGGCTTTTTTTAGACAAAATGTGCTGCTATGAAGAAAACAGATCAATTGCATATTCTAGTTAAAATATAGGCAAGCGATTTATAAATTGCTAATAGTGGGTATGTAAGTTCTTTCTGTTTTTTTTCCCCCTTAATGTAGTATATAACCTTGCTTCTGTTTATTTGTGTGTACCTTGATAGCAGTTGGTAAATGTCACTTTATTATTCCATAGCTGGTAAATTTGTAGGATTTTTCCGTAGTCACTTTCATTTCTTCTAAAACATTCCTCCCCAGTTTTTTATCTTTAAATTCTAAAATAATTATCCTAACTTCTTTTATTTTGATTACTTACGATTATTTTTAATGTAATTCATATTTCCACTGAATTTCTAGAGAATGTCTATGTATTCAGCCAGTATTCTTTTAGCAATTTAGAGTTTTTACAGACTGTTTTAAAAACATAGTATACAGCCTCTTGTATTCTAAAAAATATAATAATGGTGGGTGCTTCATTACTAGAAGTTTAGTAACCGGAAGAGCAGGTGACTGGCGTGCATGCGCACACTGGCTAGCTAAGCTTCTGGTTTCTGGCGCTCCTGCCCATGCACGTTGGGGAGCTGCTCTTTTTGCATGCACGTTCCGGTTTCAGCATTCTCAGAAATATCTCTGACTATAGAATTCTTTTCCAGAAGAAACTCAACCAGTATTCAAAAACATATTTTGTAGGCATGTCATAATTTTATGGTGGTGTTTTAAACTTTCATTATTATTTTCTGTTTTGTTATATGCTTCAGTGAAAGGAAGTACTATATAGACATTGGATAATATTTATTCTATTCCACAATGGAATAGAATGGAATAGAATAGAATTCCATAAATGGAATGAAGCTCAGATAGCATTGGAAACTAACAAAGTTTTTGTCAAAAACTTTTCATGCTTGTTGAAGAAATGAGTCAGGTTTCCTTTTGTCTTTGTATATTCTCAAGGGTAGCTGAAATTTGATTTCTTGATATTAAATATTTGAATATTCCAGCTTCCAAATGGTGTCACCTATCATACGGGCACATATCAAGACAGATTAGGAAAGCTGCAAGAACATCTGCGCCAACTCTCAATACTGTTTCGGAAACTGAGATTAGTATATGATAAATGCAATGAAAATTGTGCAGGACTTGAACCCATTCCAATAGAGGTAAGTGAAATGGGAGGGGAGACAGGCACAAATATCTAGACCAGAAGAAGAGGGAAACTGATTTGTTTCCAGTTCTTATTTATTCTAAAATCCCAAAATTCTTCATGTGAAACCTGGACTAAAATGGATACACCCAAATGCTAGTAATAAAAGTACTGTAAAACCTTGACTTAATGGATCATTGGGGGAGGAGGGGTTCCATTAAATACAAATGTCTGTAAAGTTCAAATTTATCTTGTTTACATCCATTTATATTGTTTGCATAATTACATAACTGATGCAAATAGCACCATTAGCACTAAAACTTCAATTTAGTAGAGAAATCCTCAATTGAATAGACATTTGTCTGTTAAATGGGATGAAGCCCAAATGAAATCTTTGTCCACTATATCTGAAGTCCACTCAGCTGAGGTCCATTAAAACAAGAGTTTACAATAATTCTCTCTGCAAAAATACTCTCCTTCTTTACCTCATGGTTTCTCAATCGCCACAACAAAAAGAAGAGAAATTATTGTATTGCTCTTACTGTGAAACTACTGAGAGCTAATGTACTGCAGATCACTGAAGGATCTGCCAGAACATCCAGATCAGTTTACATACGGTATCCATCATGATTTCCAGATGGTGAAACTTAATGTATTTTCTGCTTACGCCTTTTGATTGTGGTTGAAAAAGTTTTAGGGAGTTTGCAAGTTGGTAAAAGGCAAAGTATATTTTTATTGCTTTGAGACATCTTAAATTTCCTAAAATGTCCCAAAACAGATTGTATAATATAAATGCTGTTAGAAAAAGAAACATTTCTGTAATTTCATATTTATCATAATTATTATTCTGACATAGCTTCTCACGCGAGATTCCACCAGATATTCTCCATCTTTATATAGGACTTTTTTCCCCCAAATTTACAGCAGCTTATTCCTTATGTGGAAGAGGATGGCTTTAAACATGATGACCGAGGAGCCACCAACCAGCTACTCTTTGCTAGTGAAGAAAGACGGGAAATCATGGAAGTTATCAAGGTAGACCGTGTTCTATTTCTGGGTACCTTTTTGTGTAATTGTAAGCCAAATATATATTTTTGACTCATTGAAAACAAAGATTAGTAAGTAGACCCCAGGACACAAATGTTGGGTCATGTATGAAATTTCATAATTTATAGCAGGGGTGTCAAAACTCAAGGCCTGGGGGCTGGATCCAACCCACGGGGTATTTAGATTGGGGCAGCTCTGAAACAGCGAAAACTGGCCCGCGGTGCTTCTGCCAGCAAAAACAGAGCTCATGCAGCCGTCCCGACCTCCGTTTTTGCTGCCAGAGGGTTGCAGGAAGCCGTGGTAGCCGAAAATGGAGCTTGAGCGCCTACTTTTGCTGGCAGAGCACCACAGGTGCCCCTGACATGAGTGACATTGAGCTGGCCATGCCCAGCTTGCCCCCACCCACCCCCCCGAAGTCAAATACAACAACCCTGATGCGGCCCTAAATGAAATCGAGTTTGACACCCCTTGTTTATAGTCATGAAAAAGAAATAAATAGAATATTCTTTTTTGGCAAATATGATTGGACACCCAAGGAATGTGCTGGCGCATAAGCTCTTGCAAATAAGCAACAAAGTGATAAATGATAAGATACAACCATAAACCATAAGATACAACCAACAAAGTATAGCCATAAAATACCAATAGGCGTAGGTAATAGGAAAAACAAGGATAATAGTAACACAGTCCTGTGACATGATTAGATATCCTTAGGCACAGACAGTGCTGTGGGAATTAGGTGTTAGCAGAGTGATGGCATGGGAAAAGAAACTCTCTTTGTGTCTAATTGTTTTGGCATGCAATGCTCTATAGCAGCATTCTGAGGGGAGAAGTTGAAACAGTTTATATGCAGTTTATGTGAGGGGTCGGTCAGTCTGTCTGTTTGTCTCTATATCTATCTATCTATCTATCTATCTATCTATCTATCTATCTATCTATCTATCTATATTATTGGGTAGTAGAAAAAGGAAATATAGGGATGAGAGTGTCTTAAAGACAATTTTTGAACAAACTGTCATTGAAGGTGCTTATACTGAGATTGTGAACCAAACATTTCAGAATATTGTAGAATTTTTAATTTTTCATTAAATTGTTTTAATTTGTAAAGTAGCCAAGTTGGCTTATCAAACATATTAACAAACACATTAAAACAATGTATAAATGCATTTAAAATCCTAGAATGGTCTGAAATGTTTGCTACACGGTCTCAGCCAGTTTGGTCTGATGGTTAAGGCACCAGTCTAGAAAGCAGGAGACTTTGAGTTCAAGTCCCAACTTGACCATGAAAGCCAGCTGGGTGAATTTGGATCAGTCACTCTCTCTCAACCCAATCCACCTCACAGAATTGGTAGCTGTAGGGAAAATAGAAGGAAGAAATATGTTGGATATATTTGCTAGCTCAAGTTATTTCTAAAAATAATAAAGGCAGGATACAAATAAATATCATTTTTCTCCTTTAGTTATATAATAATTTTCCAGGAGATTATATTATGCTATTTTATTTACTTAAAAAGTTACATTAGAAAAACATATTCCTTATTCTAGGGCTATATATAGCAATTTCTTATTTAGACATTTTGAGATGATGATATTCTAGATATCCTTAACTGTCCACGAATTAGTATTTGTTGCTGATTTTGATTAAATGCTAATTCTTGTAGGACACTGTCATTTTATGTTTTGAAAATTAATTATGTGTCTGGGGAAACCAATCAAACCTTAGAAATTCTACTTAACTCCGAAATGTTCCTCTTGTAATTCTTTTTAGTTCTGTGCCCTCATTGTACATGCTCAGTCCTTGTAGCCATTTCATACATTAACCATGGTCTGGATTTGTACTAATTAAAAATATTAAAATTACTCTGTTTTTCAGTTTAAGTTGATTTGCTGGGACTCCTGGCTTGTAATGGTTTGAGGAATTTTGTTAGGTGCTTTATTGATAAATTTACTATGTCATTTGCTTGGTCTTTCCATTTGTATAAGGATGGGGCTGGTTATTAATTAATTCATGGGACACTAATTGAAAAAAAAAAGAGTAGATTCTTCTAAAAACTCAGGACCTATTTTCTTTCTTTAACTGGACTCTTCTATCAAGTGCCCTACATTATTCTCCATTGAACTCCTATTGCCCATTGATAGTTTTTTTTTATTAGAGTAAATTCTATGCAATTCTTGCTACTCTCTGAGCTTGGTTGTTTGCTTGCAGACGTTTCATTATCCAGCTAAGCAACATCATCAGTGCAAGTGAGTGTAGTGTTTTGCTGCCTATTTATATGCAGTACCTTATAAGAATTTCTATTTGGAACTTCCAAGTATCCATATTTGTTAAGTATATATAATCTGCTAATTTGAAGAAAGACTCATTTGGGACAGAAAGTCTACAGCTCCCTCCCAAATTAACATCTGATCCTGAGGTTTCGACGATCCATAAGTATGTCTCTATTCTTGACATTTAAAGAAGGTCAGGGATGTGCTCAATCATTTAACAACCTAGATCGATTTAAAGCGTTTTATTTTTTTTCCAGACAGTAGATTTGGACACCACTATTTGTTTTCTTCAAAGGATTGTCAGTTTTACTTTTTGGAGAGAAATTGCAAGACATTTTTTTTTAAATCAGGGAACAGTTGATGTGATCAAATGTCTCTAGGTAGATACACTGCTCAAAAAAATAAAGGGAACACTTAAACAAGACAATGTAACTCCAAGTCAATCACACTTCTGTGAAATCAAACTGTCCACTTAGGTAGCAACACTGATTGACAATCAATTTCACATGCTGTTGTGCAAATGGAATAGACAACAGGTGGAAAGCATAGGCAGTTAGCAAGACATCCCCAATAAAGGAGTGGTTCTGCAGATGATGACCACAGACCACTTCTCAGTTCCTATGCTTTCTGGCTGATGGCTTGGTCACTTTTGAATGCTGGTGGTGCTTTCACTCTAGTGGTAGCATGAGACGGAGTATACAACCCACACAATGGCTCAGGTAGTGCAGCTCATCCAGGATGGCACATCAATGCAAGCTGTGGCAAGAAGGTTTGCTGTGTCTGTCAGCGTAGTGTCCAGAGCATGAAGGCACCAGCAGGAGACAGGCCAGTACATCAGGAGACGTGGAGGAGGCCGTAGGAGGGCAACAACCTAGCATCAGGAATGCTACCTCCGCCTTTGTGCAAGGAGGGACAGGAGAAGCACTGCCAGAGCCCTGCAAAATGATCTCCAGCGGGCCACAAATGTGCATGTGGCTGCTCAAACAGTCAGAAACAGACTCCATGAGGGTGGTATGAGGGCCCAACATCCACAGGTGGGGGTTGTGTTTACAGCCCAACACCGTGCAGGATGTTTGGCATTTGCCAGAGAACACCAAGATTGGCAAATTCGCCACTGGCGCCCTGTGCTCTTCACAGATGAAAGCAGGTTCACACTGAGCACATGTGACAGACGTGACAGGGTCTGGAGACGCCATAGAGAACTTTCTGCTGCCTGCAACATCCTCCAGCATGACCAGTTTGGCAGTGGGTCAGTAATGATGTGAGGTGGCATTTCTTTAGGGGGCCGCACAGCCCTCCATGTGCTCACCAGAGGTAGCCTGACTGCCATTAGGTACCGAGATGAGATCCTCATACCCCTTGTGAGACCATATGCTGGTGTGTTTGGCCCTGGATTCCTCCTAATGCAAGACAATGGTAGACCTCATGTGGCTGGAGTGTGTCAGCAGTTCCTGTAAGATGAAGGCATTGGACTGGCCCGCCCGTTCCCCAGACCTGAATCCAATTGAGCACATCTGGGACATCATGTCTCGCTCCAGCCACCAGCGCCACATTGCACCACAGACTATCCAGGAGTTGGGGGATGCTTTAGTCCAGGTGTGGGAGGAGATCCCTCAGGAGACCATCCGCCACCTCATCAGGAGCATACCCAGGTGTTGTAGGGAGGTCATACAGGCACGTGGTGGCCACACACACTACTGAGCCTCATTTTGACTTGTTTAAAGGACATTACATCCAAGTTGGATCAGCCTGTAGTGTTTTTTAACACTTTAATTTTGAGTGTAACTCCAAATCCAGACCTCCATGGGTTGCTAAATTTGATTTCCATTGATAATTTTTGTGTGATTTTTGTTGTCAGCAGTTTCAACTAGGTAATGAACAAAGTATTTAATAAGATTATTTCATTCATTCAAATCTAGGATGTCTTATTTTTGTGTTCCCTTTATATTTTTTTTGAGCAGTGTATTTGTCTGTGGGGAGCAGGTGACTGTTGGTTTTGCATGGATTGGTTTTGCTGTAAAAGGAGGCCATGGAGGGGAGATAGGTAGAAAGATAGGGATAGAGAGATGTTTTCCATTTGGTATTTAAAAGATGAAAAAGAGCTTGTGTGTTTCTTTAAAATAATAAGCCACACTGAGTTGTATTCAACCAGTACCCTTGAATAAAATTCTTTATCCCCTGAAGGGAAAGCTTTTATCTCAGGAACAAATTATTTTTCATCTCCATGTCACCTCTCCAACTTACTTAGTTTCCCCCAGTGTTTATTCTAAAGGACCTGAATAATTAGGCGTTGTTGCACGGAGAAGAGAAGGATCACCATTTAGGCACATCCTGATATTTATTTCCACCTCTATGCTACCATCAGAAGCTGCCATAAGATCAAACAGCCATTGTCAGCAGAAGGATGCCAACTGTTTATAATTCAGTATATATTCAGTTTAACCTACATAGGCCTAAAATTAATTGTCGGCAGTGGGCAGAGTTTTCCTTGGTTCACCGATTTAACTCTCGCAGAACAACGTTTGTAGGAATAAGCATACACAAATGTTAGACTTGCAGGGAACAATCTTTTATGGCAGGTTTGAGGAGTGGCATGATGCACTTACAATAGAAGTAAAAGGAGCTTCAGAGAGCAAGGACGATAGAAGGCCAGACAGAGGAACCCTGTTCTCCCTCTTCTTGTCCATCTATGGATCAGGCTTTGATTCCAGAGACCTTGG